GGTTAGGGGAGGAGACACTGGAAAAGTCGATGCCAAACGCCAGGGTCACAGTGTGTGGCGTTGGGTAAGGGATAGCCAGGGAGAGGCGTCGGGTTGAGGTCTGCAGAGTGGCGAGTGAGTATAATGGGATGAGTGGAATTGCAAGATGAACTAACGGTGGAGCTGAGGAAGCATTGACCGGGTATGCATCACCCCCCTTCTCGCCACCTCGCCCCCCTCCGGGCCCCCAAACACATCTGGTTGTGACCCAATTTACCCTCCCACACGTACACAGTCACCCCATGTCATCCCCGAAAAAGGGTCAACCAGTGTCGACGTTGAGCCACCAGCCACGCGCCCCCCCACCGTGCCAGCTCAACATCGGGCCCCACCAGGTCCAGCGTAACCATCGTCCCCTCCCCCCACCCACTGTGCCAGCTCAGCGTGCACTGCACAACCACCCCGCCCCGCCCACCTTGCCAGCTCAGCGGTGCGCCCGACCAGGTCCAGTGTGTCCATCATGCGCAGCACCAGCCGGCAACGCTGAGCCACCGCCGCCACGCAGCGCCACCGCCCGCCTGTAGGGGGGTAGGCAGGGAGAGCGAGGCAAGGGCATCCCAAACTGAGCCACGACGCAGTTATTAGGGGTCATTCTTAAATGTGGGATTGCTGCTGACAGGGCACATTGCGTACAATGATGCGATTTGTTGCAGTCGTTGCAGGCTCACAGCTCAAATCACCAGTCAAACAAGCCGCCAGCCAAAGACCTAAAACTGCAACAAAAACAGCCTACAGCCCGAGGACGCGCTGTGACCCTGAGACACAGCCAAAGGGGAAGAAAGGGAAGCCTGCCCCGCTCCCCACCTGCGTGGCCGCCGTCAAACCAGGCGGCCATCTGGTGCTGCGGCACGTGCGGCACCCGCAGCCGCAGCACCGCGGCCACCACGGACTCGAAGGAGTATGACGTCAGCTTTAGCTCTGACCGCATGAGGCGCCACATGTTCAGGACGATGCGGCCTGGGGTGGGAGTTGGGGGGAGGGGGTTGTGGGCAGTGTGGGGGACGATGTGGCCAAGGGTGGGGCCGAGGTGGGATGTGTCGGATTTGGGGGCCGTGGGCGGCGTTGGGTGTGTGCGTTTAGATGGGTGTGTGTTGCACACGCGCAGCGGGATTGCGCATGCACATGTGCATGCAAGCACCATGGGGGTGGTGAGAGGTTGTGAGATGAAGAGAGGGCTGGTGGAAAAGCTCAACCTTACATACAATTGTATGTGCACGGGGTAGGTAGCGCCCGCCTTGCACCCTCCATCTCCCCACCCTCAACCCCTCTTCCGACGGATCCCACCTGTGCAGTGTATGCCGCTGGCGTGGTCGCGGCCCCACTGGTCGTCCTGCTTCTCCTTGATGCTCGACAGCTGCAACGACGACCACGGCGGTCGTGCAAGGGAGCGCACAGTGCTACCGGGGTTGGGGTGCACTGCCAGGGGTGCTCCGCAGTGAAACGGAAGGTGAAGGGGCAACGGCAAGGGGTCGCGCGACCTGCATCGCAACGTCTGCCGGCCGTCGTGTCATTCCAGGAGCGGACGCATGCTCCTGAGGGTGCCTGCCCCCGCATCTGCCGCCCCCCTGCATCTGCTGTTCAAGTTTTCCATGATAAGCCGAGTCATCACAATCATGCCCACCTCTGGCGTCCTGGAAGCTTCCCTCAGCAGGTTGATGCCCATCCCCGCCGCCCTCTCCGCCAGGTACCCCAGCCCCCCCCTCTGCACGTCCCACGTCACGATGACGTCAGCATCCAGCCGCCGCACCGCCTCGCAGAAGCCGCCGAGCAGCTGCCGCTCGTCGGGAAAGACCCTCACGTCCGCGGGGCCGCCGGGGGAGAGGGCGGCGGAGAGGCCGCCTAAATCGCGGCGGGGTATGAATCCGAGGCCGTCAGGGGCGGGGTCCGCGCCCTCTGGCGGCGGCGGCGGCGGCGGCGCTGATTCCGCGGCCGCAGCGGCGGCGTCGCCGCCGGCGGCTGGTGCGGGTGCTGGGGCGGCGGCGCCGTCGGGGTGGTGGGAGGGCTTGCGCTCCAGGAGGAGGAGGCGGAGGGGCGCGGCGGCGGGCGGGCGGGGGCGGGTGTCGTGGAGGGCGGACATGACGACGGCGCGGACGGCGTCGTATCTGAGGGTTCAGGGTTCAGGAAGGTACGGGATTTGAGGTTGGGTTTCCGGGTATCAAATCAAAACGATCGACGGAAACGAGCAGTGGGGCGTGACTGGGCGGCGGCGGGAGTCTGTATTGTTATGGCTGCACGGCAGGTACAGGTGCTTGGGCCCTGCACCAGAGCTGCTCTCTCCCTCACACAGCTGCCTGCAAATCCGCAAGCACTAGAGAAGACAAGGCACTCCGCCGCCCCGGGAGCAGCAGTGTTCCCGACGCCTCGTGCATTGCTGCACAAAAACGCGGGCGCAAACAAGCGCGCACAAGTGCGCGAGTGCGCTCACCTCGGATCCGGCAGGAGGGCGCCCCTGGAGTCCGCGTGGACCTCGACGGCCAAAATCGTGAGCTGCTCGCCCCCCACAGCCCCCTCCCCCTCGTGTTTGAATCCCAGCTGGCTCGGCGGCGTGGCAG